TTATTTTTATTCACGGGTAACACAAGCGTTAAGGCGGATTCATCGTTATAGTTTTGAACTTTTTCTCCCAGAGAGAGAAACATAACAACAACCACATGGAAGAAAAGTTGTGAACTAAAATGATGAATCCGCCCTTATGGTGTAATCAGAAAAATCATGATTTACAGATCGACAGCACATGTGCACTTTCCGTGGACTTTCAATACGCAAGATTAACTATACTAATTGGAACGAAGAGATGGCATGACAACAATTTAAAAACATTTCTAACCAATACACATAATTTTTTTTTTTTGTTAATGCATTCATAAAACCCCGCTACTAAAAGTGCCGCTATGTAATCTTCATCAGCGCCTAAGCCTTTAAATACACTGTATCACAAATTTTAGTTTGGTTTTTGTTCTCCAGACGCCACTATCCAATTTTTATGTAGAATTGCTCGGTGATTCCGAAAATCGAGTTAATTTTTTTTCTATGGATACGTTTTCGAGATATTTTCAATTTACCGTTATTCAGCTTAAAGCAAAAATTTGTTCCTTTTAATCACATATATCTTACGAACCATTTAACAATCTAATAAAACAGCTAATAAAATTCTCCATAAGCCATATATACATCACTTTCCGATAGGACTTATACTTTCTCCATCATTCCAGTGGGTTTTATTTTTTCATAAAAAAAAAATATTAAATCAAACTTTAACAGAACAAAAATTAAAAAAATAACAGGTTCTGTACTAAATTTTTGCATTTGTGTTAAAGCCTGTTCTGTTACAACAAAAGAAAAAACAAGTTACTGATGATGAAAATCGATGGCTAAATAAGAAATGAGTGGTCAAATAGAAATACGCAAAGATTTTTTGTATGACTAGTAGTTTTTAGCAAAAAAAAAACCGACTTCAACTCCCATATAAAAAAAATATATATATATATATCTCATGATCCGCTGATCGGATCTTAACCAGATTAGTATGGGACCACCTCTGAGACACTGCCTTTCCAATGCAAAAAGAATTATCGAAATCGGTTGACGTGGTCCAAAGTTATGCGGTAACATACATAAAAAACAAAAAACAAAAAAAAAAAAAAAAAAAAATATTCCGACGAACTGATAACCTCCTCCTTCTCCTTTTTTGCAAGTCGGTTAAAAAATGAGCAGGGAAGAAAGTTACTCATACGCCACGTACACCTGCCTGTGTAATACGCTTTTATGCTCATATTTCATTTGCTGTATTTTATATTTTTATATTAAGATTGTTAAATTGGTTCGTAAGATATACGTGATTAAAAGGAACCAACTTTAAGCTGAATAACGGCAAATTGAAAATATCTCGAAAAAAAATTAACTCGATTTTCGGAATCACCGAACAATTCTACATAGGAATTGGACAGTGGCATCCATAGAACATTTTTGCTGTAAACCAGTGATATTTATTCGTCAATAAACAGAAAACGAAAATAATATGCTTGCGAGATTATTGAATGTCTGGTAAAAATGGTACAGTGCGCTTCGTCTGATAAAAGCTATTTTTTACATAATTATTTAGGCTGATCACACTAGAACGATTTCCGTATATACTATACATACATACATATGTACATATAGTTAGTACATATGTACATGTATCTATTGTGTCTTCAATAGACACGAGATCTGAGCAGGTTCTATGCAATCAAAGAAGCTTTTAAAAATTTTTGTACAACTGACTTGGAGGAATTTCGAAGCACTCAGAACGAATTTATGATGTGTTTGGATTTGACTTTAATGATAGCTTGAATGCATAGTGTAAATGAATAAATTGTCTATAAGAGGTACTCTCCCCCTAATGATAGATTGAATTTGCATAGACGAAGTGGAGTTGGAACTACAGAGACAAGTCAGGCTGAGCAAGGAAAGAAGGCGGAAGACAGTAGTCAACCGGCTCAACCTAGGACTCGACCGGGAGAGCAAAGAAAATACTATATACGATATCAATTATGTGTGATCACATACTATCAGACTACAGAGCATTTTTTCGAATTTTTTTTACTTGCTGAATTTGCTTTAGTTATGTTTTAGTTATGTCACCCCTAACGACGTGTCAAAGTGCTTTGACTTCGTGCTTTTATTGAAGACATCTCTCTCCTTAACTTATTTCCTGGCTCTACGAAACCGTAGTTACTCGCATGTTTTATGGAGTTCGAAAGATGGAGCGGGTATAGAAGACCGCCAATATTGATATAAGTGGTACACTTAGGACCACTCCGAATGGGGTACTTAAGAGTCTGCGTACGCCGTAGATAAGGCTGCGTTCAGAACTAGGAACACTGGGTGCTTAACTGACTCAAGGTTTGGCACTCTAGTATTTTTGGACACTGTCTTTCGCGTGGTACTAAATATCACACCGAACTCTCGCTATCTCCGCTGCTTAAAGCCAGATAAGTTAAAGTCAACACATTTCTTTCTTTTAAGCACCAATCCTACTCATCTATGAGATATACTTTTCTCCGATGACATTAAAAATATCCGTTCACAAGGACCTCAACAGAAGGTATTTCAAGGAAGTGGAGCAGGCGATGTTGTTTCTACTTCTGGCTTCCTCGTTTTCGTCCCGGAACGTTTAATGTTCTAGATGTATCTTAGCCTAGTCGGTCGGCCATTCATTGGAAATGTAGAGGAAATTTTTTAAAAACTCAAGACAGACTCCACATTTCAGCTTGCACTAAAAAGTCGGATTTATGTAAGTCCGACCAAAAAATTGTTTGGACCAATTAAATAAAGCTGAATACCAGTGTTAACTGTGAATTTCGTAGATCACCAGTGAATTGAATGGGCCCGAGTAGCTATTTGTGAATATGGGGGAAAAAGAAACGAAATTGAAGAATTTTTAATCTAATGATTACGAGCGATAAAAAAGGGTTATGGTTTATGTTTGGAGAAGCATCAAGAAGGTATTCGTAGATTTTTCGCAAATCGGACTACGATGGATCCAGTAAAAGCCCCAATTATCGAAAGCTGCTACAAACTGGTATTGATGTGTAGTTGATACAGGCTGATTCGTCATCTCGAGAGCTTGGCTTAGAAGTTTTGTTATATATTAGCGGCCTTACCTGATTTTCGGACAAACTAAACCGGTATAGTCCGGGCCACACTGGTCTGGTCCACGCCCGATGGGTAGAAGCCAGTAAGTCTGGGCTGAACACGGAAACAACTTGAACGCAACAATACTGTGGACTGCAGAGACGGAGTTGGACTGAAGTGTAAATATTCATACTAGAATCTACTAGTTAACCCTAGGCTTAACCAGACCAGTTTGGCCCAGGCTATTCCGATTTATCCTATCGCATGCAGGTAGAACTAGCTTAGCCTATACAATCGGATATGGCCGGTAACATATACACTGCATAGTGCGGTAAAAAATTGTTTTAAAAACTGGAAACTTGCAACATTTTCCGTTCTCCATGTAGATTTCTCTGCGGGTAATCATGGCCGCTCACATATGTACATAGATACCTCACAATTTGTAAGTGCGGACAAATGTATTCAAATGTTTGCAAAATGCTTTCTAAATAAGCATCAAAAAAAAAAAACCATGCGCTTATCAGCAGCACGCTGCTTATCGCTGCCGTAACAAGTATTTGCTCAGTAACACAATCCCAATGTCCATTGCTGATTCGCCTACGACGACAGTCGCCTTCACTATCTACTTTAAAAAGCTTGAACCGAGCATCGCTCAATCTCAGTTCAGCTGTGCAGTCTAGAGTGGTCGAACAGCCTAGCTTTTTGACTTAAAAAACGTTTATTTTTGACAACATAAATTAAAAAAAAAAACTTCCTTTAAAAAGGACTCATTAAACAACGTGAAAATAAAAACAAAAAACCAAAAAAAAAACAAAACCAACAGTGGCAAAAAAACGCCCCAAACATGTGCTCAAAAAGTCAGGATCTAAGCAAGCGCACATTCTTCATACTTAGTGGAGTATCCAATGCCTTGGGCAGGTCATTGGCCATCGAAATGTGCCGCCACTACAGCGCCGATTCCCTTGCCATACTCATCGACCCCTCCGAGGAAAATTTGCAGGAAGTAAAGAAAGAAATTGAATACCTAGAACGTGGTATTAATGTCGTTTGCTGGCCGATCAAAGTATGGCAAGAGGCCAACGGTACTTACTTCCGTCAGCTACTCGCCGCAATTTTTGAGAAATACACTGCTACCAAATGCGAATTCGAACTCGCCTTCATACTTCACAACGAGGGGAAGATGGCAACAAATAATTTGATGGAACCACAGTTGACTGAGGATTGGTTGTCCTTTGTGCAGGAGAACCTCTACGCGCCCGTTGCACTCAATCGAGCCTTCCTAAGCGCACCGCAACTAACCAAAATCACAAAACTTGTCGCCAACGTCACATCCAGCTTGATGATCCGTCCATTCGTTTATAATTCATTGTTGTGCTCTTGCATGAAAGCACGTGATATGTACTTCCGTTCGATGGCCAATGAGGAAATACGCAATGACGTTAATGTAATCAGCTATTCGCCGGGCATTTTGGAAACACACAAGCCCCAATTGGACGCGAACAACAATGAGGTCGATTTGTCGGATTTGGATGTGAACGAAAAATGGCTGCAGTTGCCACGTGTCAATGCTAGGGAATCTTCGCTTAAATTGATTAACATTCTGCAAGAAATGTCCTTTATTTCGGGACATGACGTCGACTACTATGACACCTTCAATTTATGAGGAGCACTAATGAAATATTATCACACATGCGCTAATCATGCTATAATACTGCCGTGTGGTAATATTTCATTAGAAATTTTTGCTTATTTGGTGTTGCTGCTGATTATTGGTGATATTTTGAGAGAGAATTATGAAAAAATTAAAAATAAAATATTACAAGAAATTCTTTCGGCGAACATCGAAGATGGCGAGAACGAAGAAGAAAAAGAAATTTTTGTTGTTTTATTAAGAGTTTATTGTGGAGGAAAATAAAATGGATAGTTTTTAGGGGGAAAACAAGTACATAGGTTTGATAAGATTTGCACAGTCAAAAATAAATTTCAAACGACATTAGTAAAATATACTAACTGTACTTCGGTAAGGAAAAAATTTTACGCTAAATATGACCTCATGCCTATGATAAAACTAGCGCCTATGACTAAAGTTGAATTGACCTTGCATGTCTAGCGACTATAAACCTGATAACGGATTTTCATTCTTAAAAAAACAGGACAAGTATGGTAATATCTTTGTTACGACATTTGGAAAATACACTTTTATTAAAAAAAAAAACATCAACATGTGCAAGATGTGGTCCGAAGGCCTTCCTCGGTTCACCTCTCTCAAATAGTTTTTCCGTTTGCGAAATTCATATAAGCAAGTACATACCTATCTTTTCACAAATTCTTTGACTGATTCCTTGGCTATCCATTTCCTTCCCTTCCTAAAGCAAGCAGTAAGGATTGCTAAAGTAAGTACAAAAGATTAGACATGGATTCGACAAGAATTAGAGACATGAGCCACTTAAGAATGAGTAACAGCTTTTATTTATTGATTTTTGAATTGTGTTGTTATTGCACAGGACCATCGATGTGTATCTAAACTATATGGTGCTCCGATTCTACCGCAAAACCAGTGAAAACGGGGATTGGCCTAATTGAAAATTTTCAAATCTTAAGAGATAACAAACTTATAAATATTTTCGAACTTTGGGTGGTAGTAATTTGACATCAAAAACGACCTCGTTAAATGATGACGTCGATATACAAAGTCACGCGTACAGGCAAAAGGCGGGGCAGAAGCACAAAATGTGTTCCGCAGTCTCATCCTCCTCAAGGCAGGAAGGTCAAATGGTGTTGTCATGTATGCCTATCACAGACAGATGTTTATGCCACGAGTTCCCCCACAAGTTGGTCTGCAATCACATCTGCTCAGTGAGAGCAAATACCTAGCAAGACCCTCTGAAATTGAGGGCAACACGAGTTTTGCCCACCTGCAATCCCTCGAAGCATCCGAGTCATTGCTGAGCGAAATATTCACCCAGTATCTGACAGTGGCTTCGATATTCGATTGATATAAATGGTTGGGGACCGAGAATTCGCGTTCGCCACATCGTATTTTCATAAAAGCTCAGATCCCCATTCTCTTATTTTCAATAACATCAATGGCATCATCAACGTCATATGGATAGATGAAGCCGGTCTGTCGCTACTTTAATGTACGGTTATCGGCTGATTACTTATGAAACCGGCCGTCAGGAATTAGGACACAAAAAATTGAAGCATCGATTTTAAAGGCACACCGCGTCTGCCGTAAAATTAACGGAAATAACAAACATTGACTGAACCTTAAACAATAGGTTAGACAGAGGCCAAAGAACATCGAGCCGCCTCAATTAAAAACCATTTCGAAGTCATCGACAATAATATTTTACCGCTTTACTAGTGCTGAAAAGCAATGCGTATATATGTATGTACATTAGGGTGGCTCAAAAATGCATGTGAGAAAATTAAAGTCGGCATTTCAATTTTCTTACCCCTAGGATTGTTCTATACCAAAAAAGTATACCCGTTTTTTTAGTCAAAAAATAATTATAGGTAGCTAAAAATTTCTTATGTATGCATTTTACCCGTATATACGGGCTAAACTATTTTTCGTAGAAATGGTATAGCATACTTGAAAATCAATATTTGTCAAGCGGCAACTGTGTTTCTCTTCAGGAGACTTCAAAAAGAATAATACCCAATTTTTTATTAAAAAAAATTTATATTCATTATAAAATGGCTAAACAAATAATTGGGTGTTATTCCTTCAAGTCTCTGAAGAGGAACGGAGTTTGCCGATTGGAAAAAATAAATTTTCAAAGGTTTTTTTTAGCGACCTCTAAATTTGCTTTTATTTCAAAAAAAAACAAGGATAGATTTTTTCGATGTAGAATAATCTTATGGGGTGAGAGCATTAAAATTCTGACTTTACTTTCTTTGGACCACCCTAATGTACACACATCTTTGTCGAAATATCTTTCTTCATTCTCAAACAAGGCATTTTAGCACCAATTACCTTTAACAACACTGAAGAAATTTTTCTGGGGAAATGCCCACATCCGTCACTTGATATTTGTTTTTCAAAACAAGCTCTAACCGAATAAATCTTACACAAACCAATAATATCACTGGTCTACAAGGGTTTTGCGAATAAGACGGGACCTGGTGTTTCCGAACGGATTTTTCGTGCTGAACACGAATC